AGGAAGAAGGAAAATGTTACAGTGAAAATGAAGGAGAAAACTCATAAATTGTGTAGTAAGTGTAAGTAAATTCTTAAGATTGATCGAAGATTTACATTTTAAGAATACTAAAATTAGTTATGAATGCTTTTATTATTGTATTAAATGGGGAAAATGCATAAGAGAAGGGGAATGGAAAACGTTAGGTCCTCTAATTAGGGATAAGAAAGGTAGAAAAATGAAATTTAAGGACCAACCTTTCATTTTTCTTATTTCTTTCGCATTTTTTCATTTACCTTAAAATTGTGATGTTAAATATCTAATTGAAGGTCATGCAACCAACCATAAACCAAATTTCATGCACAAGGACCTTTACCTGAAAATGAGGTTAATTAAACCGAAAATGAAGTCAATTAAACCGAAAATGAAATAATAGTATAATAAAAAAAAGAGCATATAGTTTTGGATTATGAGATGAAGATTATTAAAGACAATTTTAAACTATATGTAGAAATTTTATAAGAATAATAGTATAAAATCCTTCAATTAGGTTTTCTCAATTCTCTTAATATCCTTTCTTTTTAATGTGGTTCTGCACAACTTTTTAAAAAAGCATTATTGACAATTGATAATTTTTAATCTAACCTTAATTATTTAATTAAAATTTTTGACTAAAAAATTATTATAAAATTCAATAATTAATAAAAAATAATATAAAATTCAATTTCTAGTTATATAATAAATTTATGAAAAAATTATTATTTTTTAATATAAAATTAAAAGTAAATAAATTTAGAAATGCAATTATGTACAAAAAATATAAGAATTGACTGAATTGATTATACTTATATTATATTTTTAATGATTAAATTGATGAATATTAAAAAAATATATTAAATTGAATATGTACAAATTATTTTCCCTATCAAGATACATTTCAGTACAGGGGATCAACGGTTATCAAAATCTGTTGGCGGATTGTTTGGTTTGCAATTACATGGTCCATCATCTGGTTTTGCAGGAATGGAATAATTTTCAACAGCCAAGCAATTGTTGAAGAAAAGCTTTTGGGTTTGGTACAAGTAAGATCATATTCATTCGGTGTAGAAGAAAATTTGAGGGGCTAAAGCTTATTTCTTTAATGGAGGTGTTTGCAGCCGCCACAGGCTCTTGGTGGTTTGGTTATTGCCATTCAAGAAAATGCTAGGGTCACTTAAATATATATTTTTTCTTTAAATAATTAGTTAAAGTATTTGAATATTTCTATCTGTTGATTAATTTCAGTTTGTTAATTAATAAATATTAATTATTTTTTAATTATTAGTAGATAACTATCGTTATCAATTATTTTTAATAGTTAAATTAAATAAAATTAATATTTTTAAAAATATAGTAAAACTTTTGCAGTATTTCTAAGATACATATTCGAGGGTTGGTAATGGAGCGTTAAAAAAGATATGTACAGGATTTTCATCATGATGTAAAGATTGAAGTAGCTCTTGTACTTATTTTTGTAATTTTTAATTTACCAGTTTTGCCTTTAAGAAAAAATAAAAAATAAAAAATAAAAAACCAAAGCCTTAATTTCCATCCTAACATTTTAAGTTTCAATACCTACCATACTTAGGTTTTATTTAAGACTGTTGTATTGTGTTACACTATGACTACATAATTGTAAGGTTTTTAGTTTTTTTATTATCTTAAAAAAAATATATGAATTATAATTTAAAAAATAAGAAGAAGTGTTTATTAATTGTCATCTAAAAAATTAGAAGAAGGGCGATGATTCGGAGCACGAATAAAGAGGACAAATTCATAGGAGTAATGACAAGGCCAGGCACGTTATTAATATATTAATATTTTAAGATTTTAAATCAAGTTATTTTGACTGATTTATCTTTTATCTCCTTCATGTTTCTTTCTGCTCCAAAATCTCTCTCTCTCTCTCTCTCTCTCATTTCCCCTTTTTTTGTCAAGCTCCTCCTCCGGTGGACTTGGCCAAACTCAAGGACCAAGCTTAATGCCTTAACCCCATCCTCAAACAATCGAAACGCCATAACCATGGTTTTAAAATTTCAAAAAAAAAGAAAAAGAAAAGAAGAAAAACTTAAAAACTCTAACTGTTTGATAAAATTGAATCCTAACTAGTATAAACCTTAAATCTATAGTTAGTTTTTACAAGGAATTGTCTTCTCAATCCAAAAATTCTTAACAAAAATGTTATGGTTACATTGTCACATGACATTGTAAACTTACAATATGATGTGTTATTATATAATTAATTTTTTTATTTAAGAATTTACTTATAAAATATTGTATGCATCTATTTGTTTAATACTACATTATTTTTATTTAATATCACATATAATTATAAGTTTATAATCTTATATAGTATTATAACTATAATATTATCGTAATTTTTAATAATTTTGGTTAATCATCCTTTTTTCTTTCTTTATCAAAGGCTAAAGTTATTTTGTTATGGTTTGTCTTTTCCTTTTTGTTAATTTACTATAAAAAAATATTAAACCTTGAAAGACAGTGCATTGGTGCTGGGTACTCATTTTACCTACTAAAACGTTAATTTCTATCCCCTTTTTTTTTTTCAATACCTAATGTGGTTAGGCATTAATTGGAAAGGTGTACTGTAGTACATTGTGACTATAATTACAGTTTTTTTTAATCTTAAAAACTATAAAATATCAATTATGGGAAATAATATATATATTCTGTAAAGTTACACACTCCATTATACATTAAAAGTTTTCATTATTTATGTCATTAAAACTAACAGTTTCTGTTACTTACGTCGTTAGAACTAACGGTTTTTCTTATTTATGCTGTTATAACCGATGATTTTCGTTATTTATGCTGTTAAAATTGATAGTTTCTGTTACACACTAATAAAAATTGTCAGTGTATAACAGATTATGGTGCATATATTAGTGTCCATTAAGATTGAACCTCTAAAAATACAAAAAATTATTTATCAATTGAACCTCTAAAAAATTAAGAGAAAATGTGTCTTAAAATTAGGTCATTTTATTAAATTTCATTGAGAAACACTAAAATAGCATTTTTTTTGATATATTAGAAAATTAATTGTTTGACAATATAGAAGTTTAAAACTTTAATCTTAACCATAAATTAAAATTTTATAATGATTTTAATAAAAAAATTAATATACACAAATAAACTTGGTAAATAAGCAAATGTTTAGCTTGAAAGTTTTAATACATAATTCAAGAGTTTAAATTTAATCTAAAGATTTATTTGAAATAAAAGAAAATAAACTTATGATTATGAAATGCTTTTTGTTTTTCTTTTGTGATTATAATTAAAAAATTCCTATAAAACATATATTTTTTAAAAGAACATACAAAAGCAGTTTTAAAATCCCTAACCAGTCCTAAAATTTTTAGACCTAAACTTTGCTCGTTCTCTCATTCTTCTCTTCATAATAGATTATCAAATTTCATTGCTAACTAAAATTTTCTATATTAAGTCTCTCTTTATATTTCCCTAATTTTGTATTGTATACTTTTATTTTTTTAAGTGATTAAATAATTTTAATTTTTGATGACCAAAATAAACAATTTTAATATCTTACTTTTTGATGTTGTTCATCATATATAATTTGTAAGTTGACTATCATGCTCACATTATAAATGAAATAATTTGATTTTTTAATCTCATCTTTTATGTTAATAAATAATTTTATTTCATTAT